CTGCGGGTGCGGGGAGGGGGGCTGCGAGCTGCGGGGAGCTGTTGGGGCTGTGCAATGTGATCGTGCCGTTCTCCTGCTGTTGTTGCCAATTGTTGCTGGTGCCGCAAAACTTCTGGGGGCAGCCGCGGCAGAAAATGCGGTCTCAGAAAAGCAGCAGGCAACATGCCGCTCTGCGCCAGCCCAACATTGCTGCACTGCTGGCTGCACTTGACCCATTTCAAATCACACCTGGCCCTCAGCGTCAATGATCCTGAAGCGTAGGCCCTCCAAGTTGATTTTGTCAAGCCCTGCAAACGCGCGTTGCGCCAGCGACCCCATTGCTGCTGCACCCGCAGCTGAGGCCGCCGCCGGGCTGCCGCAGCCCCCGTGGGCTGCAAGAAGGCAAGCAAGTGTGTTGGCAGATCAGGATGCGCCGCACAGATGAAATTCGGAGTCAGAACAGGCGAGGCTGCCAGGACGAGCGCACAGATCACTTGGGGCAGCAGACTCGGACAAATTAGAATTTGTAATCTTTTCACGTACAATGTGGTCTACGCAGTCCTGTCGCAAGCAGCAGTCGCAACCCAGTGGCACCTGCGAGTGCTGGTAACCCGTGTCGGTTCTCAACTGCCCAGGACCCGCCAATCAGGGTCGCGCCTGATGACAAAACACTACATACGGTACACGCCCTCAACACTACCTACACTTGACTCGTTCCTGAGATCACAGCACAGCAGGGCATGCCATCAGCACCAGTACAGGTATAGAGGTGTATATACCAGAGGCAAGTCATTGTGCGTGTTGAAGTCTTAGGGCCTGTTCGAATCAAGCCGGTCAGCGACAGTGGCGAGGACTATTTGCACGTTTGTAGCCGCGCGCATCAAAGCGCACCACCGGGCGGCGGCGCCCCGCAATGGACGCCGAGCCCGAGCTAGCAGCAAACCCCACATTCGCCACGGGGCGCGGCGACGCCGAGGATAAGGAGTGGGGAGAGCAGCGGGTGCTTGAGGGGGACGACGACGGCGCCGACGAGGACGAAGACGAGAGCATACGGGAGAGCAGCGTCGATGATGAGTCGTACGACCTCAAGCAGTTTGGGATCTACCAGGCCCTGCCCGTTGAGGGCGAGCCCGACTGGAGCGCGGGTGCGGGCGCGGGCGCCTGGGCAGGGGCGGGGTGGCGTGGGGAGACGAAGGGTCTGGCGACACAACGCAGCGCCGCAATGGGAAGGACGGCGGATGGGCGCTCTTCACGGCACGAGCTCACGCTCTCGCACGTCCTTACACACACAGGCACACGCACACACACACACACACACACACACACACACACACACACACACACGCACAGACGCACACGCCCGCACGCCCGCGCACACACACACACACATACACACACATACACACACACGTGCCCACACTAACAAAAATGCACACACATTCCACTCTCGCCCTTACTGAAGAACACACACACACACACACACACACACACACACACACACACACACACACACGTGCACAACCACACACGTGCACAACCACACAACGATTAAATCTGTAATTCCCCGAACCCTAACAGAGGACATTGATGCGGAGGAGTACCTGCGGCGCGTGCGGCACGAGGCGGCGCGCTGCCCTCGGGTGCGTGTTCGGCTCAGAGGCGCCGTGCCGTCATCAGGGCGCAGCACACGCGCGCGCCGCCTCGCGGGGCTGCATGCGCCCTGTCTTGTGCCCGCACATGGGCAGCGCAGCGCCTTCTGGGCTGTTTTGGGGGGGAGGAAGAAATTGGGCTCAGAACAGGGGCTGTGCCAGCAGGCCAAACTCCCCAGGCTGCAGCAGTCCCCCGGCTGCGACAGCTCAGCTGAGCCGGTGGCACACGTGCGCGCGCTCTCGTGGCACCGCCGCAGGTGGTGCGGGCGGACATTGACGTCGAGGCCCTTAGTAAACAGCAGGAGGAGCGGCAGCAGCAGCAGCAGCAGCAGCAGCAGCAGCAGCAGGCAGGTGAAGCGCAGGGCGAGCAGCCAGCGCTGCAGCAGGAGGAGCAGCAGCACGAGCACGACGGCGCCCCGCAGCAGCCGCGGGCGAAGCAGCAGCGGCGGCACCACCACCACCCCCTCTCCGCCGCCGGCGGGCCGCGGCTGGGGGACGGCTCTGACCTTATCCCTGAGGCTCCCGGCTGGGCGCTGCCGGGCAACGGGTGGGTGCGGCAGTTTGTGGCGGACTTCCAACGGCTGCGGCGGCAGGTGGCGGACGTGTACGAGTCGGGAGGTGCGCCCTTTCGACTGCCGCGCACTTTTGTAACTCAAGTCGATCGCCGCTGCTGCAACCCAGCTTGAGTGTCGCGGCCTCCGCCCCGGCCAATGCAGCACGCGCGGGCTGCGGGCGGCGGAGGCAGCTCGTCCAGAGTTCAAGCGCAGGCGCTGTGGTACCAACTGCACCATCCAGCTGCAAATCGTGGGGCACAATCAAGCCGCGCCGCCCACTGCCTTCCCACCCTTGACCCTCCTGCTTCCACCGCCGCCGCTGCCGCCGCCGCGCCGCGCCGCTGCGCATTCCGCCGCCGCAGAGCTCGCCCATGATAGGGTGCTGCCCGGCCCCAACGACCACCAAGGATGGGACCGCCTCTGCTTCGGGCGCGGCCAGTGGGACGAGGGCGCCGCCGCCGGCGCGGTCGGCGTCGGCGGCGACAACAACAGAGGGGACGAGGAGGGCCCGGCAGCAGAGGAAGCCGAGGAGGCGGCGGTCCCAGGATCTGAGATCACGTTTTTGAGCCCTGTCATACTGCCCACGCTCATGTCCTTAGACCAGGCGCGCGGAGCGGGGTGGGCTGGGGTGCGGCCTGCGGCTGGCTGGGATGCGCCTGCGGCGCCAATGGGGTGGAACTCTGACCGCATGCCAGCGCAGCCTGCCCTGCTGCTCAGCCTGTTGGCCCGTCGTGTCTGCACCCCCTCCACACGCTTGAGAGCACGCACAAACTCGGTCCAGGCTCTTGCCATCCATAACACACACACACACACACACACACACACACACACACACACACACACTCCTGCACACACATACACAGGCACACACACACACACACACACACAGAAACACACATCGCAACGCAACGCCTGCGCCTCAGCCCGCACCCCACCCGACGCATCCTACGCCCCCCCCCCAGGTGGGCGTGTCGGCCCTCTTCCTTCACCACGCCCACCAGCTGCTGGACCGCAGCCCCCCCTCCCTGCCCCTGGCCCGCGCCCAGTGGCTCTTCGCGCTCGCGGCGCGCCTCGAGAAGCCGCTCCATGCTGACCTGGCGGCCGCGTTCCGCGGGCTGCTGCGGCACTGCGCGGCGCTGAGGGCGGGGCTGGGGGGCGGGGGGGACCCGCTGCTGGCGCGGCTGAACGTGCTGATCGTGGTGGCGGGGGCGTACTTTGGGCAGGACGAGCGGATGTCGCGGGTGGTGGACGCGATCGAGCTGTTCTGATCTGATCTGACCTGATCGTATCTGATCTGATCTGACTCAAAAGTTCGGTGTTGTGGCAGGTCTTGCATACACATTCATGTAATCAAAACGCCACGTGATGCTTCGCCTGACTCACATGATTAATGATGCATGTAAATCAGGAGCAGCAGTACAACATACAGCCCCCAACAACTGCCAGCGTGCGCCTGCAACCGCCTCGCTGAGCCGCCCTCTTCTCTCATTTCAGCAATGTAAATCCCAACCGAACAACCCTGCCTTATGACTCAATCAGTGCAACCACAACAAACAAACCCTGCATTGCAGCTACTCTTTCGGCCCCTCCCCTTTGTCCCCGCCTCCGGCCCCCTTTGCGGCGGCCGCCGGCACCGGGAGACCTGCCTCTGTCCGCACGGCCAGCGAGATGGCGCCCCAGTCGCTGCTCCCGTGGCCGATGGCGGAGGCAGTCAGCAGATGGCCGAACGCCAGGTCAGCAAGCGGGAGGGGGGCGCGCGCCTCCTCCGCCAGCTGGCGCATGTAGCGCACTGGGCCGTCGCGTGCGTGCGGGTGGGGG